GGCTTGATTCTTTGTATGGGCTCCCTCCCTGCCCCCACCAACAGCAAGGCCTCTGGATAACCATTTGTTCTTTCTTCCCTGAGAAATTCCTCCTCCCTGACTTTGGGGAGCGGCTGGCAAAGCCAGAGTGGAAAATCAGTGAGGCTAATGGCGCAGCAATGCAGAAGCCCGAGCCAAGAACACAGCCTTGAGCGGCTCTGCTGCCCAGGCCTTGCTGCTGAGCAGGACATGTGAATGCCCTCACATTCTCTCACAGGCTGAGTAGTGCCTTCCACTGCCCGCCAGCCTCTACTAGCAAGCAGCAAGCGCCAGCACCACCTCAGGGGGAGAGAGGGTGTGCATGCCACTAGGTGTGTGTGACAAGGTATATCCTTCAGGGAATCCTGGCAGCTTAGGACACACCTCAGACTTCCCAGACCTAAACTTCCCACCCTCCATTGGGCAGGGCTGTGTGTGTGAGGGGGCCATATAATTCCCCTGGCCTTCTGGGATCCTCTACCATCCAGTGTTAGAAATAAACAGGGTCTTTTCACAAGACATTTTACTGGGGGTGGGGGGGTGGCGGGGGTGTATTCCCCCCACGTGTTCCAGGTCAGCTATGTGACACTGTTCCTCAGGCTAACGTGGTGGGGCTACAGCCTGCCTATTAGTCATACCAAGCTAGGCTCCCAGGCAGCTCGGCTGAAATGCACACCCTCTAGAGCCAAAGGTAGCTGGGGACCCCGGGTGGGGCGGGCGGTGGGAGGGCTACCAGGGAACTTCGACTGAGGCCAGGGGCAGATTCTGGCAGCCCCTGCCTGTCTCCCCCACCCCCCCATAGGCACAGGTTTCTGCAGAACAAGGACAAAGCCCTGCTTTGTGGTACACAGGCGGCCTGCAGCCAGCAACAGAGACGTGCAGCTTTTCCATTAAACGGAACCTCTCCTCCCTTCCACCAGCCACCAGACTCCCTCGAATCTGAGTGGGTGGGAGGAGCTGGAAAACCTCAGCCATTAAAACCGCTTATGAGTTGCAGGTTTCTGTGGATGAAGGAAAGTATTTCCAAACTAGAAGCCTCACACTCTCTGCTCCATCTAGGGTGCTCAGGAGAAAGGGAAGGAAAGGCCACCACTCCCAATGGTCACAAGTGGTGGCCTTGCAAAGTTTTGGACATAGCCACTCCCTGATCCCTCAGTTCTGTTCTCAGAGAAAAATGCACGCAAATGGCCTTCCTCAAACCCAGATCTCCTAAACTGGTTCTTATCTTTGGAAAGAGGGTACTCAGCCCCTGGGCCTGTGTCCCAGATTCATTTTACCAACAAACCTCAAAGCTTGATCTGAAACAAACGTAGACTCGGTAATATGGCAAACAGGAGAAGGAAGGAGAGGGAGAGAGGGGGGAGACTGGTTTTCCTGGAACCCTTATTAAATCAACTTTGTAAGGACAGCCAGAAACTGCAGGCCTCCTAGGTCCCCCAGGGGTGTTTGCAGAGGCAGCCAGGATTGTGATCGTTCGGTCAGGGGAGGGGCTGCCATCTCTCTCTCCCCCCTCCTCCCCCAGAGCCTTTCCAAAGCTCTCAGTGCAAGCAAAGTTTGGGACGGTTTGTTTTCAACTTCTGAACCAATCTTTTTCACATAGACTGCAACTGTTTTTGAAGACAATAGCAGCATTACTTAATAATCAGCGTGGCCAAGACTACAATATGCTGCATGTCTGTGAGGCTCCAAGAGTTTACACAGCACGAGAAAAACTATTCCTGTGTCATCACAGTTCCAGTGGTTCTCATATTCTGTCAAAAAGCCACCCCCCCCCACGGTGTCCCCCAGGAGCAGGGTGTGGTAGCATAAGCCTTTAACCCCAGCATATGGAGCCTGAGGCATGTGCATCTCTGTGAGTTCCAGATCAGCCCGGTCTATGTAGTAAGTTCCAGGGCAGCCAGGGCTACACAGTCACAAAGAAAAGTAGAAAAGATATGAAATAATACAATGACCCATGTGGGCATCACAGATGAACAGATTCACAGTCACCTTAAAACTTCATTCATTACATGAAATCCTAGAACAGGAAAAACTAATGTATGTAACAAACAGGAAGCAAGTGAGAGATTGTAAGGAAGAAGCCTGGGAAAAGCTTTTGCAATGACAAACTGATCTCTTGCCTGAGGTGGTAGTTACATGGGGTGCAGCACTTATGAAAACACATTGAATTACCTGTCTAAAATTGGCACATTTTAAGCTGGGCAGTGGTGGCGCACACCATTAATCCCAGCACTTGGGAGGCAGAGTCAGGTGGATCTCTGTGAGTTTGAGACCAGCCTGGTCTATAAGAGCTAGTTCCAGGACAGCCTCCAAAGCCACAGAGAAACCCTGTCTCAAAAAAAAAAAAAAATTGGTACATTTTATACTACATAAACTATACATCAGTGAGTTGACTTCACTCTTGACTACTGTACAGCCTAGTCACCCTTCCCCATTTCTCCTGCCCTTCGTCTATTCCAAGAACCATTTCTGTACCAGGTGGTAGTGGCACATGCCTTTAGTTCCAGCATTCGGGAGGCAGAAGCAGGTGGATCTCCTGCGGTCAACCTGATCTACAGAGTGGGTTCCAGATCAGCCAGGGCTACATAGAGAAACCAACCCTATCTTGAAAAACTAAAAACCAACCAATCAAGCAAACAAAGATCTTCCATGCCCTAGCTCCAACCTCCATCATTGCATTGCCACTGCTTCCTGTCCTATACTGGGCTGATACTCAGCAGTTTCAATGACACCCTCCACCCCCTCACCCCACCCCCACCCCCGCCCCATCTCACTTAAATCCCTCCAGTAAGGACCGTCCAGAAAACTGCCTGCCTGCCACAAGATCTGAACTGCCCACTTTCCTTTCTTGGGCTGCAAAGAGCCTATTAGAGAAAGGAAGAGAAGGAGGTGGAGGCTGAGGAGGGGGTAGGAAGAGGAGTTGGCATTCAACCACTTAAACCCATGGATTGATTCTATTTCTAGAATGCCATTACTATCCCTGGCTCCCGGTCTCATTCCCTCTGACTGACATTCAACACAACCTTCTATCTTGTCTTCCTGACAACAGTGGCAGATGCAATAATAGCTCCTCACACTTTACGTGGAAGTGTTTTATCTGTACTGTGACATTTAATCCTTTATTATTGTTTCCATTTTAATGATTTGTCACATAATGCAAGCCAACTTTCTGAAAACGGATCATGTCAGTAAACTTCCAATTTCTCAGCAAGAACCACTTAAATATCCTAAGCTCCTTAGCAAGACGCAAGCCTTCCAGTTTTTCCAGGTGTTACTCTCTACCGTTATTTACTCAGGGAACAATATGGCTCGCTGTCCATACTTCTTAAGCCTCCTGACTTCATAGCTCGCTCATTCTGCTGCACCCTGAATGCCCTTTATTAACCCCCGTGGAGACCTGTACCTTGGTACCCTAAGGTAAGATTACAGAGTAAACACCTGTAATCCCAGCACTCACAAGACCGTGGCAAGAGGGTCATGAGACCAGTCAGGGCTATACAGCAAGATCCTATGTCAAAAACAACAAGATTAAAGACCCCTGTTTTCTTTTTTCTTTTGAGACAGAATCTGTGTAGTACCAGGTGGCTATAAAGGCCAAACTGGCCTCAGACTCACAGAGATCTGGCTCCAAGTATTGCGATTAAAGGCTCCCTGACTTTCTAGGCACTCCCGAGTTCTCTGCATGACATTTCCATTGCATTCTCTTACAACTCACTGTGTAGCTTAACTATGAGTCTGCTAGGGGCTGGAGAGATGGCTCAGCAGTTAAGAGCACTTGCTGTTCCTGCAGAGGGAAGGGGTTCCCACCAGCCACTTTTGGTTTCTGTGGGCACCAAGGACACATGCAGCACACATACATACGGGCAGGCAAAACACTCAACTACATAAAATAAAAATAAATAAATCTTCAATAAATAAATACAGTCTGCTCAATAAGTATTGCCTCCCCACTGCTCGGTGACAACCTCCTTATAGGTAGAGAGGTCCTCTCTCGCTTTGGGACTCCAATGTGTTCTAGCTCATGTATGTCTTTGGATGTGCTACTGACTGCAACACAGTTCCTATTTCAGCCACTGCAACATATAGAAAGTCCCACACTTGTCCCTGGCCCTCTCTCACCACTATCTGTACACACAGGCTTACCTGACATCAAACAGGTCCCTGACAGCTTAGAATGACAGCCCTGTAAACACAGCCACTACTGTCAATGTGCATTCTCAAGCCTTTAGCCCACTATTTTCAAGCCTTCTCTGTGACCAGCCACTAACTCTCAAGCCACACTCACTGCCTTTTGACAGCAGAGATATCCCAATGTTTATCCTCCATGTCCCTCAGGTATCTTACGAGCAGCAGAAGAAGCCTCTGGGGATTACAACCACACACCACAGGCCAGGGGGCCTCATAATGCCCCATGATCCCTCCTGGTTCTGTCTCCTCCAAGTCCCTCAAAAAGGCCATCTCCAAAGCAAACTGTCCATCAAGTCCCCAAACAAGAGCAGGAAGACAAAGTCCAAAAAGGCGTGTGTTTGTGACTGCTCAGCCTACAGAAGATGCATCTCTGGAACAGCTTTCTGAAAGGCAGAGGTCAATTACCAAGCTCTTCTTATTTTAGAATGTCTCCTCTAAATCTACATTCATGACACTCTTTCCCACTGCAACACATCCCTTTTCACGATTACTTGAGTTAAAGACCTAATTACATTTTTTTTCTCCAGAAAAAAAGCATAAACTATCCCAAGTACCTCACCTCTGGTAAGTGGATGTCACTAGCCTTCATGATCCCTACCTCTGGTAAACATGTATATTGCATGTTTGGAGATATATACATATATATCTCCAAGCCCAAATCAGCCCAGATGTTTTCGGCGTTTTACCACTGGGAAAGGAGCCCTTTGCTCCTCCAAGGAAGAAGTCTTCCCAGCAGCCCCCACCTTTGTTTCCTCAGCTCAGGGGTCCAGCTGACCCTCAGCCTGTGGTCTTACCTTGTTCGGGCAAGGTCGGGGCTGGCCTGGCCGTGCAGAGTGCTGCTGTGACCAGCACAGCCCAGAAGAGGAGGGTCCTCCAGCCCCACATCCCAGATCTGCACTTAGAGGTTGGTGACGAGGCTCCACACCGCCATGGATACTCAGCGGGAGCTTGATCTGCCTCCTCAAGCTGACTCTGGGGAAAGAAACAACAGCTATAATACAAGTTGGGGGCTGGGGGTTAAGGAAAAGAAGAAAGTGCATCGTGTCCACGGTCAGCCTGCCCAGAAGGATGCTGGAAATAACAAAGCGCTTTTTAAGGTGCAAAGGGAATTGAGCTCATAATACAGCTTGCCCCCCCCACCGTCCCCCATGGGGCCCTTTGGGGAGGTGATGGGCCGGTTGAGAGACAGACCCTGGTGGGAGGTTTTAAGTCAGCTGGGGGCATGCCCTTGAAGAAGGTTATAGAAATCCAGTCTCACACCCCTCCTCACCCTTCTGTTCCAGGCCTGAGTGAATGCACAGCCCCGACAAGCTCTGAAGACATTTTTTTTTTCATCCCACCATAAGGTGAGCTCAAAAGCAACAGTCAACCAGGGAGTGAAATCTACAAAACTTTCTCTCTTTTCAACCTGATTGCCTCAGGTCTTTTGTCACAGTGAAGGGAAGCTGGGCTCCACCCTTCAGTTCTACAGCTATGTGTTGAGTACAGACTGAGTTGCCTAGTGGGGTGGAAGGGAAGGGGCTCGTGAGAGCCCCAAAGAGCCACACTGTGACCAAAATGCACGGAAATGGCATCGAGAAACCCCAGTCACAAAGCTGGGTGTGGTGGGGCATTCCTTTAGTCCCAGCATTTGGGACAAAGGCAGGTGATTCAAGGTCAGTCTACATAGAGACAGCCAAGAAAACATAGAGAAACCCTGTCGACACACCGCCCCCCAGCAAACCCCAGTTACAATGATATGAATCTTTTAAGACGCAGGCAAGCAATACAAAGGTAACAAGAGCACTGGCTGAGGCTATAAAGGCTCTTCTGAAGCCTAAGGAGGCTAAGACGCCAAAGAATCCCAACCAAAGGCAGACTTGCTTTTATCATCCACCCCAAGTTTGGGAATCGGATTTGTGGCTACATGGCCAAAGGTTGCCGGCTGTGCCAACCAAAGACTAAGGCCCAACCAAGGCTGAGGGGGCAGTTGCAGCTCAGGTCCCGGCCCGGGCTTCAGTTCCAGCTCAGCTCAGGATCCCAAAGGTGTCTAGGCCCCTGTGAAGGCCCTAGAGTAAAGGCCTTTATCTCTCAATTTGAAAGCAGATGGAAGACTATGTATAGGCCCCAGAGTAAAGGCCTTTATCTCTCGATTTGAAAGCAGATGGAAGGCTATAATGGCTGATCAGTGGTGGCGCACGCCTTTAATTAATTGCAGCACTCAGGAAGCAGAGGCAGGTGGATCTCTGTGAGTTCAAGGTCAGCTTAGTCTACAGAGCGAGTTCCAGGGTGGCTAAAGCTACACAGAGAGACCCTGCCACAAAGAAAGAAAGAAAGAAAGAAAGAAAGAAAGAAAGAAAGAAAGAAAGAAAGAAGGAAGGAAGGAAGGAAGGAAGGAAGGAAGGAAGGAAGGAAGGAAGGTGGATCAGTGTGACCCCCACCCCCACTCCTGCCACCCCAATTCCGGCCACACACGCACTATTTGCAGATGGTTGCTGACCTGAGCAAAACAAATAGCAGGTCCTGCCTCAAGTTTAAGTATTGTGCAACCATTTCAAAAGACAGGAATCTGATGACTCCCCAGGCACAAGACTTTGTTCCATCTGGGACAATCAGTCTGGTGAGAAGCAGAGAGGTAAAGAGTGGGGAAACATGGAGACAGGAGGATCTCTGTGAGTTCGAGGCCAGCCTGGTCTACAGAGCAAGTTCCAGGACAGCCTCCAAAGCCACACTGAGAAACCCTGTCTTAGAAAAACAAAACAAACAAACAAACAAACAAAAAGAGTAAGGGAAGAAGTCAAGAAACAGAAGGCACACAGGGTGGTGGTGGTACTTGGGAGGCAGGCAGATCTCTGTGAGTTCAAAGCCAGCCTGGTCTACACAGTGAGTTCAGAACAGCCAAGGCTATGTATAAGAAACAAAAGAAACAGAAACAGGAGGCAAATAGGTCACAAGGAATATGGAAACCTTGATAAATCTCCCTAGACATAAGCAATACGACGCCAGAAGACTTCTTTTTCCTCCCCCCACCCCCCACGAGGGATGGAATCCAAGGCTGTTCACAGGCTAATCAAGTGCTCCACCCCAAAGATCCATCCCTAGCTCTCCGGGGTCTTTTTTTGTGCCTCTAAATCACCGGCACCTCCCGTTCTACCAGCCTCCCTTCCAGAGAACACATGCTTTACCACTACTTAGGGTGAAGACAGAACAGGACACTGTGAGGAGGATCCAGCTGCCTCTGAGGTTGGATGGTGGCGGCGGTGATGGTGGATGCCTGACAGCCATGTGTAGAGACGTGGGGGTGAGGTGGGCGACCAGAGCCCTGCACACAGTCAGGCACAGTCAAGGACTTGCAGAGGCTGACTCAAACAGCCCTAGCTAAAGCTGTGGATTCTGTAGCCCTTGACCCTTCTCAGGTTTATGAAGGCATTTTTTTTTGATATTTTAAATGTTTTCTTTTATTTCCTATTGTTGCGTGTGTGTATGTGAGGACATGACTGTGTCTGTCACAGCACACACACAGAAGTCGGAGGACAACTCCATGAAGTCGGTTCTTTCCTTCTACCTTTACATGGCTTATGAGACCTGACCTCAGGTTGGCAGGCAGGCAACTTTCCCTGATAAGCCATCTCACTGGTGGTGGTAAAATTTAAAACAACTTCCTACGGTCCTAAAGAATAGATGATTGACGGTAAAACAACTATCAAGTGACACATTGCTGGGCACTACGTGTGGGGTGACCATCACTGTCTTCCAGGTGTTTTCTGTCTTCCAATGCTCCAGGAAACCATCTAAACTATTTGGAGAATCTGCCTCCGGAATATGCTCTAATGTGGTGTTTCAGCTCTGCCTCTGTCTGAACCAGGCCGGGCCCCTCTCTAATGAGTCAGTCCTGGCTCCCATAAAACCCCCAAAATCTTGGTCATCAGAATATGTATGCACTACCACTAGCTGCCTCCAAAGACTTACCATAATTAATTAATTAATAATTTCAAACCAAAAGCGAAATCAATATTTCTCTTCTGGGTTTCTTTTCTGAATTTAGGAAAAGGACTAGAAATAGAAGGAATATTTACTGAATACTCTGTGGACTCTATATAAGTAAAACACATTTATAACTATAAAATTTACTTTATTCCTCCCTCTCTGTTTCTAAGGAATAGTACTAGTTCTGCTAAGAGATGAAGAAACTGAGGGCCCAAGAACTTAATTACTAGTTTAAACTGGGTGGTGGTGGTGCACGCCTTTAATCCTAGCACTCAGGAGGCAGATCTCTGTGAGTTCGAGGCCAGCTTGGTCTACAAATCAAGTTCCAGGACGGCCAGGGCTACATGGTCTTGGGGGAAAAAAAAAGAACTTTAGTACTTTGCCCAAGGAAATAGAGCTGTTAGCAACTTGATCCTCAGGTTTGGGGGATATTAATTCAAGATGAGAGAATGAAAATAATTTGGCCACACCTAACTGGGATACAGCTCAGAGGAAGAATGACTGCCTTGCATAAGGAAGACCCTGAGTTCATCCCCAACACAGGAAAAAACAAAAAACAAACCAAAAAGTAGCTCTCTACCTGATGCAGATACGGGAGGATTCCCATACACTAGAGAAACCAAGGGGATAATAAAGACAAATCCAAGTTAATACTGGAAATTACAAGTTACTGATTCTGTTTCTTTGGTGGACAGAAAGACCTTTAGAAACCAATCACTCAGGGCCCTGCAGGCCCCAGGGTCAGGCACAATCTCAAGCCAAGTATAGAAGTAACTATCACCCGAAGACGCCTCTGAACCCACATGTCACACATTCCAAAGATATATCTAATCAGTGTGCGGCTGTTATCCAGAACGGCACACTTGACAACAAGAACCTGGTCCCACAGTAACAGTGACTACTAAACCTTAGTATCAACACAGGGCGGGTGGGAGGAGGTAGTGTCATCATGATATGATTGATTAGATTGCAGCAGATGGCAGCTTCCACCTGTCACCCTGTCCCCTGAGATGTCTGCCCACCTACCTCCTCCTAGGTATCTAGCCTATGCCCTTTCATCCCTGGTGACGAGTGCACTTCAGACATGTCAGACTTTTGGCACCTTCTCTCTGACTCATTTCCAAAAGAGGTACAAGAGTTCCTCCTGCCTTTCCCTCTCCTGCCCTCTAGGCCTCAAACAGCACACCAAAGGGAAGCTATAGACACTTGGCCTCCTGGTGCCAACTCCAGGAATGAAAAGGCTGCTGGGTACATGCACCACTCTCCACATCTGCAGGACATTCTGTCGCACAACCACAAATCCAAACGCTACTTGGAATCCTGGAGACTGACATCTTCGCTCTTAAGGATTTCCTCCTTCCTTCATCGATTGACAGGGGTAGCCTTGTAGGTGTGCGCAACAGTTTCCCCACAGTGCTGCATGTGTTTCCACGCCATTCTCTCCACTATCTGTTGAGGTTCCCAGAACTCAAAGCCCAGTTCGTCTAGACGAGGAAGGCTTCAATGGAGGGCAATGAGGAGACCACACGACCTCAGTTTTCATACTTGTGGGAAGGCTAAAATATCTGTCCTGACTACATCTGGGTGGTTACAAGGAGCAAATGGACAGCGTGAAAGAAACTGAGTGTGTTTCTTTTAAAGTACTTACACAAAAGAACTTTCAGGGCATCTAGTGGGAAGTCAGGGCCTGGGACACTTGGCCTTGGTCCTTCAAATTCTGAAGGTGTAAAGAATCTATTAACATCAAGTTTCTCTGCAAGAGAATTAGTTGCTGCACTGAGGGCCAAGTATTTGTCGTCGTCTTCCTCCTCCTCATCTTCCTCTTAAGGAATTTACTTGCAAGTGCACACACTTGCATCTCTCTCTCTCTCTCTCTGTGTGCGTGCGTGCGTGTGTGCGCGTGTGCATGCACGCGCACATGTGTATGGGTGCCTGAGGAGTCCAGAAGAGAGGACATCATACCCGCTATAGTATACTATATAAAGCTATATCAACAGGAGGTTGGT